GAGGTAGGCAAGAGTGTGCATGGTCCAATTTGGCGAATCTGTTGTTCTCGTTGGGGTGCCAGGAATAGGAGTTGCGAAATATTCAGCCTACCTGGGCTGCCACAGGTGTGCCCATATACTTTTTGATTACTAAAAAAAAAAAAATCTCCCGGCTTGATTGATGTAGCATCTAAGGATTTTATCTAGCAGGTTTTGAACTTCATGCAATCTTTGATCATGCATGATTAGTATCAGGCTTTAACGAGGTGCTTCATACAGATAAAAGAGCTACGGAAGCCTGTAGATGTCACTGGGAATGGAGCCGATTCTTGAGTCGACTCAAAAATCGGCTCATTCAACGAGGTGCTTCATACAGATAAAACAGCTGAGGAAGCCCGTAGATGTCAGTGGGAATGGATCCCATGAAACCGCTGTATGAAAGAGACCTGCATGTGCACAAAAAATGCATGGCAGAAGAAGTGAGCAAATGAGAATCGATGGCATGGATTGAAGGACAACAAGCGCACAGGGTTTTCCCAAAGGGGGGATGAGACGAGCATGGTGGGAAGCAGGAGGAGCAAAAGGCAAACTTAAAGTAGCTGGTCGCACACTAACTCAGCTGTTTGTATAGCCTAAACCAAACCAGTTCGGTCTGGGTATAACTTTTTTTTCTGCAACAGTAGGTTTCAAGTTTTCGACTACACAAACAAACACTACTGAGTTTGGTGCGAACACATAGTTGTTTGACCCAGATCCATACATGCTCAGGTTTGAGTGACCATTCGTCATAGGTGCATTCAATTTCACACATCCCTTGCTTCCCATCTGAATCTGATTTTGCACAGCCCGTCCCTGGTCGAGATTGATTCCGCACAACCTTCTAACATAACATCCCTTGCTCACATCACCTTCCCCTCCCAATCCCCACTAAGCTTGAGCAAGACAGCCAAACAACTGTTCAATTTGACCTTGTCTGCGACGAACACAAACGTGAAGACAACGACCAAAACAACTAGGTCCACAGGACATTTGAATCGAGCTCAAATGTTAGCTCGAACTTAGTTGGTTTTCCTTCCTAGAGCATACTCTACCTACCACCTGCAGTGTTTAGCAAACCTCTGCTGTAGTCAAACAGGGTTGCACATACACAAACTCCATATTTAGCCTAGTCTAAGGATGCGGCGAAAGGCAGCTTAGCATAGTTTATGGAAGGTTTGAGCGGAAACCACAAGCTTACCATTGTAGGGCCAGCCCACACTCAAGATGTCGTCCGCTACTTCATTATTCAAACATCTCATAAATCTCGGTCTTGTTTGCGTCCCTTTGCAGCTGTTTCTCACGGGTTTGCCTAGAACATTAGCGGATAAGGTTTAGAAAACCTAGCATATGTCACCCCTGCTAAAAACTTAAGGGTTGGTATATTGAGAAATAGGAAGTACCTAGACATGGGCATGCTAGTGTGCAAGCCTAGTCATGCTCTACTCAACTGAAGTCGAGCCAAGATCAGCTGCTGAAAAATGCTTGGCTTGAAAGCGAGATTGACTCGCCACAAGCAGTTTGACTTTTGTCACAAGCTTACATGCTGCTGTATGCCTTGAATATTGGATGCACCCTAAGGGACGTAAAGTTGGGCTACACAATTCAGGGGGCAACAGATGGTTTTAGGAAGTCAAGTATTGGAACTGCGAATTCTTAGGGTCTCTCAGGACTCTGAGTTGACTTTTTGAGTCGACTCAAAAGTCTCTCAGGGCTCTGTATAACCCGGGCGTACATATGGAGTTGTTAATTTTATGACCGGTGAAATCACATACACGCTGGGTCGCAACGACAATTCACGAAGCAAGCTGGGGCAAGTCACGGGTCTGACCCGATTCTACTCAGCACATGATGTTTCGACTGAAGCTGAATCGACTCAACTAGACTCAACTCGACCTGGCGACTTGATAATCCTGCTTAAGCACGTTCTGCATTGCACCCATGCTCCTCCTTTCACCTCGGACACTACAAGCAGGCCCGGCCAGTAGCCTGGCAGCCTCACACTGTACCGAGTTCGCTATTGCAGAAGTCCTCAAGGCCACCAATGACTGGTCCCCTGACAACCAGCTAGGCTCGGGTGCCTTTGGCGATGTGTACAAGGGCGTGTCTCCCCGCGATGGCACCACCGTGTGGGCTGTGAAGCGCGCCAGGCTGATTGACGTGGGCTTTCAGAAGGAGGTCAGTGAGCCGTGGTGGCGCATACAAAGCCTTTTCTCACAAGCCTTTGCAGGCATGAAATTGCAAGCCAGTTCCTCAATTCGTCGACCTTGTTCTGCTATTTGTTCGGAGCTCTCCTTTCCAATCTGTTTTTCTTTGCTACTCGCCTTTTCTCTCTTGGCGACTCTTAGATCCAGCAAATGGCCGACAAGAACCATCCCAACATTGTGAAGCTCCTTGGCTTTGCGATCGGAGGAGACTTGAGGACACAGCCAGAGCAAGTTCTCATCTATGAATGCGTGCCCAACGGTGATCTCAACAAATGGATCGGTCTAAGTACGTATGCCTCTCCAATATTATTCCACACATGCTCTGCCACTCATGCTGCGCCACTCATATGCTCTGGCACTCATTTTCTGTGCCACTCATTTGCTGTGTCAATTGTATCGTGGCGTGACCTTGACTCTTGCCAATCATGCGTTGTGCCACACATATGATGTGCCACGCATTCTTCAGATGTAGCCTGCCCTTGGCCACTCTTGATCTTCCACTCATCCTCTCCCACTCATCTGCTGTGTCAATTATCCTCTGGCACATATTCCTTGCAGAAGCAGAACGCCCTCTAACTCTGAAGCAGTGGGTGGACATTTTCATCGGTATGGCACGGAGCTTTGAGTACCTCCACAGATTTGGCATCCTGCATCGCGACATCAAGCCTGTCAACGTCCTCATCACTGACAGCATGCATGCAAGCTTGGTTGGAGTGGATCTTTTTTGTGAGAGAATGTTTTTTTTGCTTAATCAAAGCATATTTGTGTTTTCTTTATAATATATTTTGGTCGTGCTACACATACAAGTCTGATGGATAGTGCCACAAGTGTCCAGTTTTATGCACCATTCCCTATCCCTCATGCTACAATGCCACTCATCTGCATCACCAGGCAAAGATTGCAGACTTTGGGCTGGTGAGGATGGGGGAGGGCACAACCGTGGGCACAACGCGCATCATGGGCACACCGGGCTATGTGGATCCGGCCTACTCCCGCACGTCCAAGGCCACCGCTGCCAGCGATGCCTACAGGTGATCATTGCAAAGGCCTTATGTGAGGCAGTGGTGTGTACAGGTGAGGCAGTGGTGTCCACAGGTGAGGCAGTGGTGTCCACAGGTGAGGCAGTGGTGTCTACAGGTGATCATTGTAGGAGCCCTTGGTGAGGCAATAATGTGCATAATTGCAAAAGCCTGATGTGAGGCTTCGGTGTTTACACGCGAGGATTTGGTGTGTACAGGTGAAGCAGTGGTGTGTACAGGTCAGGCAGTGGTGTATACAGGTGAGGCAGTGGTGTCTACAGGTGATCATTGTAGGAGCCCTTGGTGAGGCAATAATGTGCACATGTAACCAGCGTCTACAGGTGAGCATTTTTTAGACATCTGAAAGAGCGTTGGCACGTCGCATGTCATGGGCACACCAGGCTATGTGGATCCTTTTTTTTTCCATCACATCAGCCACACTGCAGCCAGTGATGTCTAAAGATAGGGCAGTCCATGAGGTCTACAGGTGTTAATCATTTAGACTTACCAGTGATGTCTACAGGTGGGCCAGTGAAGCAGGAGTTATTTGAGAAGCATTGCTGGAGACCCTAGAAGCATTGCAGGAGACCCTTAGAAGCATTGCACGAGACCCTAGAAGCATTGCAGAATACCCTTACATCATTGCAAGGATCCTTGGATGCAATGCAGGAGCTGGCACCCGATGAGACGAGTGCCAAATATTATGTGTGTGTAGTACATAATCTGGGTATGCTGCTGTGAATTGGCAAGACTCATCTAAAGTGCCCCTGCCTCTTCTTTTTCGTCTTCATCATGTTTCCGATTATCCTCTGCCTCGGAACGTTCTCTGCCTCTGAACCCTTCTTTTCAGCTTTGGAGTGCTCATGCTGGTGGTCCTCACAGGACAGGCACCAGTCTTGGAGACTGATGGAGAGAGTCGCCAGATCACTCCGCGGGCAAGCACCTCATTGTCTAAGACCAGCGCCTACCCCTGGATTGTGGGACCATTGTCATTGACCCTTCCGCTACCCAATGCTTGGTGTTTTCGTACCATGTCCGGTTTTTGCTAGTGGTCCTCACAGGGACGGCATACCATTTCGTGGGTATGCACCACCGACAGGCTTCGTTGCAAAGGCTCTGAAATCATTTTCACACCTTGTTAATGACCTGTCGTATCTTATCCCTTTCCAACACCCTCTACCCAATTCACTCCCTCAGGCATCTGAGTGCCTGTCCTCGGGGGACATGGGAAGCCTCAAAGACCCCACCATGGACGCCCCTGCAGATGGTGTGCTGCGTGTGGCTCAGCTCGCCCTCTCCTGCACCGTGGAGCGCACTGCAGCCCGCCCAAGCATGGCACATGTCGCCAACGAGCTGCAGGCCATCCGGGAGGAGTGGGTGGGGAAAGAGGAGCTCAGCGCGGCTGTCAAGGTGGATACACAGGTGCAGGAGATGAAGGATGTTGTCGGCCTGAACAGCCTCGACACCGAACTTCAGATGATTGAAGACAACTTGGGTGAAAGTTACGAGTTAAAGTTTTAACAAGTGGCACTTACACTGGTAGTGAAAGTTGCGTGCTTTCGTATGAATATACTGTACACGCCTAGTGGGTTACCCTTCAAAGAAGACACCAGGGTGCACTAGAGGGGGCGTTCTCTTCCGAATTGATAGCGTTTAGCTCAGTAATTGTAATGCTGAAGTTGAGAGACCCTATGAAAAAAAAACGGGTGCATAATTAAACCCAGCCTTATAGTAATTGTAATAAGGGTAAATCACCCTTTTATCCTGAAATCTGCTCTCCAATCTTCATAATTTCCGTGTCAAGGCTTGCGACACCCGCGACAACATCTTTCATCTCCTGCACCTGCGCATCCACCTTGACAGCCGCACCCAACACCTCTTTCCCCCCCACCGCCTCCCGGATGGCCTGGAGCTCGTTGGCAACCTGCAGCATGCTTGGGCGGTCTGCAGTGCGCTCTCCAGTGCAGGCGAGGGCGATCTGAGCCACACGCAGCACAGCTTCAGCAGGGGCGTCCATGGTGGGGTCCATGAGGCTCCCCACGTCATTCGAGGATATGCACTCCGCTGCCTGAGGGAGTTAAGAAGATAGAGCGTGGGAGAGGTTGGAGGGTTCGGGGAGGGTGGAGGGTTTGGGGAAGGTGGAGGTTTTGGTGGGTGTGGAGGGAGTGTTGAAGGTGGAGGAGCTGGAGGGGTTGGGAGGGGTCACATATGGTATTCAAGAAGCTGGACGGATTTCCTTTGGGGAATATGCTATTTGAGTCTTTGAAAGTACCGGCAGGTGGTGCTCACCCACAGAGTGATCTAAGTTCCTGTGAGGACCACTAGTGTGAACTGGACGAGGAAATTTAGGAAATACCACAACCACACATTGGGTAGTGGAGGGAGGTGGTCCCTTACTGCTAGTGAGAGGATGATATCAATATGGTCCCATTGGACATGAAAAGAGCCAGACGGTTCACTTGAATGAAATGCTTACCCATGGAATGGGGGTGGCCCACGGAATGGGGTACTTACCCACGGGGTGGTTTCATGGGTCGAGGTAATTACATACGAGGTGGTCCCATGGGTTAGGTACTTACCCACGGAGTGATCTTCCAGCTCTCTCCAGCAGTTTCCGAGAGTGGCTCCCGTCCCGTGAGGACCACCAGCATGAGCACTCCAAAGCTGAAAAAGAAGCGCAAATGTTCAAAGGCGCAGAATGTTCAAAGGCGTAGAATGTTCAAGGCACAACATGGCAGAGGAAGAGAAGAGGGGTGAGGCAGATGAGTTTTTTATTACCTGACCGCAGCATGCACAGGTACCTATATTATACACACATAGTATTTGGGGCGGGTCTTAATGGGTGCTGACTCCTACAATGCATTTCTAGTTTCTCCATTATTGAATACTATGCACTTCCAGCTAGGACTTTAATACGCATCACTGTTTCACCTCTACACCTCACTGGCCCACCTGTACACATCGCTGGCAGCAGTGGCCTTGGAGGTGATGGAGTAGACCGGATCCACATAGCCCGGTGTGCCCATGATGCGCGTCGTGTTCACAGTTGTGCCCTCCCCCATCCTCAGCAGCCCAAAGTCCGCAATCTTTGCCTGGTGACTCAGATGAGTGGCATTGTAGCATGAGGGATTAATCACAGTGCATACTTGGTCGCTTGTGGCGCCATCCACAACAGAGCACGGATTCCAATAACAAGGGTTTGTGAGTGAGGTTGGAGAAATGGTTGCTGTAAGAAACACAAAGTGGTTATGAAAAGAACCAGCCATAGTTGCATTGAAACAACTTCGCCTCCGCTAAACGGAAATTATTCTGTCACCTAGTGATCCAGCGCAACCAAGCTTGCCTGCATGCTGTCAGTGATGAGGACGTTGGCAGGCTTGATGTCGCGATGCACGATGCCAAAGCCGTGGAGGTACTCGAAGCCCCGCGCCATGCCGATGAGAATGTCCAGCCGCTGCTTCAGAGTCAGAGGGCGTTCTGTCTCTGCAAGAAACAAGTGGCAGCATGAGTGGCACGTCAGATGAGTGGCAGAGGATGAGTGGTAGAGGATGAGTGGCAGAGGACGAGTGGAAGAGGACGAGTGGTAGGGGATGGGTGACAGAGCATGAATGGGAGAGGATGAGTGACGGAGCATGAGTGGCACAACAGAAAACACACTAGAGGAGCAGCACACATACTCGGGCCAATCCATTTGTGAAGGTCGCCATTGGGCACGTATTCATAGATGAGGACTTGCTCAGGCCGAGTCCTCAAGTCTCCACCGATTGCAAAGCCAAGAAGTTTCACAACGTTGGGATGGTTCTTGTCAGCCATCTGCTGGATCTGATCCTCACAGTCACGGGAAAAGTAAAAGTATTAAGCAAGGATGAAGGAACAGATTGAGAAGCAGTGAACACAACAAACAGTCAAGGCGTGACAATTCAAAGGGGAGAAAAAAAACTGAATGTCTTAATTTACTAGCATTGAAGACACAGTACAAAATAGTTGAACAGCAAAGACACTATAGCAATGAAGCATTTTGAGGCGGTTAATTAAATCTCGACGTGGATTTGAAAATGACGTCAATGACACATGCCATCTCATCACGGCTCACCATGGTTCACCATGGCTCACTAGATACCATGTTACTAAAATATGCAATTTGCATGACTGCAGCTCACTGACCTCCTTCTGAAACTCAACGTCGATCAGCTTGGCACGCTTGACAGCCCACAAGGTGGTGCCATCGCGGGGAGACACGCCCTTGTACACATCGCCAAAGGCACCCGCACCCAGCTGGTTGTCCTCGGACCAGTTATTGGTGGCCTTGAGAACATCTGCTAGTGAGAATTCAGTGCAGTGCGAGGCTGCCAGGCTGCTCCCCGAGCCTGCTCGTGGTGTCATATGTGAAAGGAGATGCATGGGTGCCGGGGAAAATGCCTGAGCACGAGTTGAGTGGAGTCGAGTCAGGTCGAGTGCGGTCGGCCTCGGTCAAACCATGTGCCGAGTCGAGTCCCCTGAATTGGCCCAAAATTCTTCTAGGGAATTGATTCATGGCGTGCTGGTCAGTTCACAGGAGATTATACAGAGGAGGGCTCTGAGGGCCCCTAAGTTTTTTTCGCAGTTGCAAACCTGAAATCTTAGAGTAAGACCATCTACTGCCTCAACACCTTGTCGCACATAAGTTCCAAAATTGTGTAGCCCAGGTTTCGGCCAGCTAGAGTACATCCACAAGTGAAGGAGGCATACAGGCCTGTAAGATTGGGACTGGAGTGCGCTTGTGGGAAGAGATTGAGTCAATCTCACTCATTTCAAGGCAAGAGATGTGAGAACTCGATTTTGGCTGGACTTTGTACTGTCAAGCATGATTACACTTGCAGACTTGCCTGCACATGTCTGAGTTCATGCAATGGAAATCTTATCGCCATGATTGCAAACAGCCACACACAACTGCATCGACAGAGTCTGGTTATTCAAATTTAACTCCTCTGGTTGCTGTGTCTCCCTACCTTTTTGCCTCAGCTTTATCTTGTGCCTGAAGTAAAGCAGAGTGGCGGCCAGAAGCAGGAGAGTGACCACAGCAGCAACAACAATGCCAATGATGACTCCCACTGACACTCCACCTGCTGAGAAAGACTCGCGGTGGGGATAGCAGGAAGCTGATCATTGATAGGGCTATCAAGAGGACATCTTGACGTGTGAGCATTGAACGTTCAGCCAAGCAGGCAGGGTTGCAATAAAAACGATCAGAAGGGTGATACTCCACTTGCAATGGAACTATAAAAGAAATCCAGATTGGTCGTAATTTCGCATGATCTTAATAAGAAGATAACTATACCATGTTTCAACGCACCCCCCTGATCGTCCAAAGCAAGTGAGGTGCTTTCAAAATAATCAGCCATGCATTGTGCCATGCATTGTGACATGACTGCATGTATTGCCATGCCTTGTGCCATGCATTGCCATGTCTTGTGCCATGTGTTGCTTGCTGTACCAACACTCTGGACTCCGAAATGTCTTTTGCCATAGTTTGGTGATGTTTATTCACTTGCCTGCAGATTGCTTGCAAGTCTTGCAGAAGGATTCACACGTGCCACAAAAGGATGTGTTAGGAGATTGTGTTGTGCCACAGGCAGAGTAATCAGGTGGGCATACGAGGTTGGTGCCAGAGATGTCGCTGCAGTGAGAATGGGAGATGAAAAGGCGGAAACCATGGGCACGTCTGCGCATACATTTCTTCGAAAGCTGCAGCAAAAGACATTGCTAATCCCGCAAGAGTCCTCTGTCAGGGCCAACCATGTTCATTACAGCATCTGATGAGCATATCTCATACTGCTTACAAGTTCGTTACGGTTTTGGTACTTGCTCAAGGAAGTTCAGTTCAGGTTTGGTACTTGCTCAAACCTATACAAAAGTTTGGTTCGGTTTTGGTACTTTGCTCAAGCCTTTTTACGCGTTCGTTTTGGGTTTGGTACTTTCTCAAGCCTACTTACAAGTTCCAAGTTCGGTTCAGGTCTGGTACTTGCTCCAGCCTATTACAAGTTTGGTCTGAGTTTGGTGTTTGCTCAAGCCTACTTACAAGTTCGGTTCAGGTTTGGTCCTTGCTCAAACCTACTTACAACTTCATTTCGATTTTGCTACTTGCTCAAGGCTACTTACGAGTTCGGTTCAGTTTTGGTACTTGCTAAAGCCTACTTACAGGTTCGGGTCTGATACATGCTCCAGCCTATTACAAGTTCGATTCAGGTGTGGTACTTTGCTCAAGCCTGCTTACAAGTACTGTAATGAGGTGAGACCTCCAATTTCAGCTGGAATCTCCCCGCTGAGATCATTAGCAGAGAGGTTTCTGCTCACAGGGGATGGATGAAAAGTGCAGGAGTAGTCTCGGTTAGCCTCATGCACACCGCAATGCAGCATGAGCTAGTCACAGTCATGTGCATTCATCTGCATGAACGAAGCAGCACATGATTGAACCATATATGGCAGGTTGGTACAACGGGACTCTCGGTTAGCCTCATGCACACCGCAATGCAGCATGAGCTAGTCACAGTCATGTGCATTCATCTGCATGAACGAAGCAGCACATGATTGAACCATATATGGCAGGTTGGTACAACGGGACTGGGAAACATCTATTGAGAGAAAGATGCATGCTGTTGGGGAACCACTGAACTCGTCACAGGTCGTCCCAGAATGCCTTGGAACGGCAACTGGGGTGTGGAGGGGCCACAAAGCGTTAATGGAGATGAGATGATAGATATGTTTGTAGTAATCAACTGGCCTTGCTCCCAGAACTCTTTGAAACAGCAAGTTGGGCGACAAGCCTGTGGAGTGCCAAACAACAACGTACAGATAGGTGAGGCGATCAAGGGGAACAGAGTCGCTGAATATGTTGCCAGTGAGGAGATTGGATGAGAGATCCCTGTGGGTTGTGGGTTGTGTGTTGTGGGTTGTGTGTTGTGGGTTGTGTGTTGGAGAAAAAAAAGAGATGAGAATAACGGGCATGGCAGCCCACGGGGGTTCGATGAGTTGAGATCCCAACCGGTGGAGAGCTCTGTAGGGAGCACTGAGAAGAACGAGCAGCATTCACTGGAAGCAGAAAGGGTGGGGGGTGGAGGGGAATGTACGTAGTTGGGGAAATGTGGGATTGAGTTGGAGCATGAGGGAACGCAGAAGAAAAGGAATTGGGATGGTCCTCGGGGGAAGAATGGAATCATGGGAAGGGGCACACGGATGGCTGCGGTGCGCACAGCACACGAGCCATGCGAGTGGGACATGAAGAACAAAATGATGTGGGTCAGAGACAGAATTCCACTTCGCAAAACTCCTGCAAGTCTGTAAGCTTTTTATTCAGTTTGGAATCAGCCCTGTAGTCTGATAACCCCCGAGGGTTCTGGTGAAAGAACGTGGCAAGTGGGTATGAAGGTTGCTCCAGGGCAACCCACGGCAAGTTGCGAGTTTCGAGATTGTATGATTGTAAAAGCACGCAATGAAGTGATACCAGCGAAGTACATATTTGTAGTTTGCTCGCCCAGTAATTCAGTTCTCAAGGTACTGTCAACAAGCAGCCAATGGTAGCTGGGATAGCCTAGTACTGAAGTCGTGATACTTACAGGGTCACCAGGTTGATCAAGGAGCTGAGAAAGGATGGAATAGATCCATCCAAGCGATT